TTACTTCGGTACGCGCTATTTTAGACAAGATCCGATCTGAGTATGAAGGTCACTCTTTTCTGCATGATTATTCGCCTACATCACGGTGCTGGGTGCAAACGATATTGATCAGGAAATCAAGCATCGTGAATGCCTCTCAGCGTTTCTATAAAAAATGAACTGAAAGGGTCTGTTCTAAAACTTTTCTGACATTTTAAAAATATTATTGTTTTTTAGCTCAATTGCGTCTTCATTATATAAATTTGAAACGCATTTTGTAAACTAGATTTCAGGCTATATATGGCGAGGACGTGCCCATTTTATGATTTTATGCACTGCAATTAATTCCTAAGTTCAAGAGCACAACAGGATTGCACTTTAATACTAAAAGTGTACTATTTTTAATACTAAAAATATTAAAGACGTAAAGCTGTACCGATCACGGGTTATATTTGCGACTGAGGTAAAGAAACAGAAATTGAGTCATCTATGTTATTCTAGCTTTTTTTTTTTTTTTTACTGTTTCATCGAAATTAAATAAGGCCATTTACTTCTGGTACCTGAAACTAAATGTGGATTCTACGAATCACAAAAGTCTATATAGTACTCGTTTCATTGTTGAAATAGTGCCTATTGCCAAAAAAAAATACGGAAAATATATTCTCAATTTAGCATTTCAAACCGGTTTGAACCGGTTAGAACCGTTATTTTCGCTCCCCGGAACTGAACCGGAACTGAACCGAAAGCCGTGAACCCGAACCGGAGCCGAACCGATACAAATTTTGGTTCGACACTCTGCGTTAAAATCACTAGATCCTGAAAAAGTAGCGCCATTGCCTTCCTTGCCTGCTAGGCGGACACAGGTACCAACACACAAACCACCAAACCTCGCATTTTGATTCGCTGATCGGTCTGAGTTGTCATGGTGATCGCCATTACGCTCCATTCAAATCTCCAGAAGTTCGAAAGTATCGTTTTGAACCAGTCGCGCCAAGATCGCTATGGAGAATCGTCGTACTGAAAACGTTCCTCGCCATAATAAGCGTCTTTGGCACTGTACATGCAATCCTCTTACTAATCATGCTTATTTCCACAGATCTTTCGTAATTGTATGGTTGTTCTTGTGTATTTCACGACAGAAAAATGAATTTGTTTGTTTTGTTTTTTGTCGCACCGCACGGCTACCACATGCGGCACCGACGCCGCATGTCGTAGCGTTACGAAGATGTGCGCATGTTTTTCAGGTTTGTGGATTGCGAAATTTCGGTATTCAAGAACTTTTTCTTATAAAGCAACCTGCCACCCGGAATTCGGATCGGGTCACCAAGAATGTGGAGGTCAATAAAGAACTGCTAATTCCATGAAATGAAATGGCGACGATACGGCAGTGTTGTACGGAACGGCATTCCAAGGAACGGCGTTCCTGGAACGCGTTCCATTTAGGAGGAACGAAGGAACGCCGCCGTTCCATTTTGCATCGCTGGAACTGGAACGGAAACGCGTTACATTTTCACTGGAACGGAAAGAGTAACGGCGTTCCTTTTTGTTCGTCCAGTGGGGTCATTTGCATTTTATTTCTAACAGGAAAAGTATGAAAGTACAAAAACAATATCTTTACGCAGTGCAGGATCTCGTTCACTCTTTGCTACTAATCTTATGAATTATTTTGTGTGGTCCTCGTTTGCTAACAGTTAAGGGTGCAGGAGAGCTGGTGGGCATTGATTCTTTTTTTGAGTGGCCGAAACTGCGGTACAAAAAGCAAAACTTTTAGTCGTAGGAAAAGAGAAAGAAGGAGGGTTGTACTCAACTCAGTAACTTTCTTTGGTTTCACGAATCCTTATACACCCAGAAATCGTATTCCGATTACAGCCATTTCTGAACTTCAACAGCGAGACCCAAAATTTACAACAAGATCACAGATTGCCAGATATCGGACTCACCCTTGTATCCCGAACAGTGCTCACTTAAAAGATACATAAAAAATACCTTTATTCCTTCTCTTGTCCCCCACCTTGGAACTGAACAGCAAATCCAACCTTCACAACGAAGTATTTGTAGCTTTCAAGACTGACATTCCAATAGCTCCACCCTCTCCTTTACTTGCTCGTTTTGCGGACAGCAACATCGAGAAGCAACTTTTGTTAAGTTCTAACACGGGAGTCTGTTAAATTGAAACGTTTGAGGTTGTTGTAAAACGCTCGTGCAATCTTGGGTAAAAGTACGTTTGGCTCGTCTGAATTGTCCAATAAAAGCATGGACATGGTTAATAGCTGAGCTTTTTAACATTAATATATCAACAAATGAAACCCTGCTTCCGCGTGTTTTCTTCTCCGGGTGCCCTTCCATCACGACATACAAACTCGTATGTTGACAATTAACGGAAGAGATTTAAAAAAAAAAAAAAAACTCTGCTTGATTTAACTAAATGTGGTACTTAGCGAAAAATGCAAATGTAACGTATATGTAACGATACGTTCCATTTTTTTAAACTGTAACGGGAAGGAGTTCCTTTCTCACAGTTGGAACTTGTAACGGGAACGCGGTCCAAAAATCAGATGGAACGAGGAACGAGCTTTCGTTCCTCTTTTTTTAGGAACGTGTACAACACTGCGATACGGGGAGCTTTGGCTCTACTTTCCAAAAATTCAGCAACTTTACGTCACGTGACATCAATATCCCTCTTACGGTGGACCTACATGCCGAAAAAGCAGCCGCATTAATCAGTAAACCGGTCTTGATAGCGCTACGACCACTCCACTTGCGCCATCCGCGCAATCACCTCGTCGTATCTTTTTAGCGCTTTGTTTAGTTTAGTCTTTAAAGGGGTATATGTTTAAATCCCCCCACATTGTATCGTTTACATTACGCTTCCGGCTTAGCGCCCCCCGCTCCGGCATCTTCCAAAACGGCAGCGGCGCCTTCGCCGCGTCTGCACCTTCCCGCAACCATATGCTTATCGGTCTTGCTCCAGAGGAAACGTCTGGCCACAACAAATTCCAAAACATACTCGTGTCCAGCGTTGCTCTCTGTGTGTTCGCACGATATTTGACCAGCAGGAGTTGCTCGGAGCTAGGGTTCAATCGTGTCACCCACAGTTCTAGGCGGCAACGACAGCAACACGCCGCCATGTGTTTCATTTACCTGCGCCGGGATCCACTCCTCTATAGGAAACGCTTGTGTGTTCGACGGCCGGGAAATTATTACTAGACGACATTCACTAATGCCAGTAATTGATCGAATCTACTTGAAAGTAGGGGTGTGCGGATACCGAATAGTAGTTATCAAATCGAATACCGAATTGAATTTAAAAAAAACGAATATTAATAGAATACCGAATAGTGGTTTTATTTGTAGGAATTTTTCAAAGTGTGTCGTGATTGAGATAATTATATGTGCAGAGTTTACGCCTGGTGCAGAATATGCATCTCAAACGACAAAAAGCACAAATGTATAGAAGTTTTCGTTAAAAAAAAGCAGTTGTTGATGGACGCTGGGCACTAAATCCAGATTTATGTCGCAAACATAATCTATCTACCTTAATCGCCACAAAAAACCCAACGCTACAACCACGCGTGCCTTTTAGTCTCTTTAAAAAAACGACCTAACACCGCGTCATGTTCTTTTTTTTTTTTTGCATATTTATATATTTCAGAAAAGGGCATGTTGCGATATTTTGTCTCAATTTTAAGAGAGAAAAAAGACACCCGGGATTTTATTTTATATAAATAAAAAGGTAGCTGTTAAATCTGAGTAAACAGGCTTAAACAATATAATTTGAAGTAAAAAAATCATATGGTTAGGTGGCGCAAGTCAGCGTCCAACTGCCACTATGCGTCCATTACTCCATCCATCTATGCTGTTTTAGAGAGCCTAGATTTAAAAGAGGGAGCAAGCGAAACTGAAACTACGGAGACGGTTCCTGCGCAGATTGGTCGTAAGTGCGCATGCGTTGTATTTTCGCGTGGAAAAAAGGCGAGTGCGAGCAAACGGAAGAGCGACGACGCCTGCCCGATCGACGCTTTTGTTTTTCGTCATTTTCTCACAGTACGTAATTCTAACGCAGCTATCGAACGGTTGGAAACCCTCTCCAATCTAGGCACATTAGTTTTCCATTCCGTTTCGTTCCGAATCAGAATTAGAGGCTTGCAGTCCTAAAACAACGACAACGACAACTCGGCTGGTTTCGTCGGCGGTTAAGGCGGTTTCCTTTTTGTGATTTGCTGTCGCCGATTTCTGTGAGTGTGGCAAGTGTGTTCTACATCGGCGCTTCAATTTGAAACGAAGGGCTTTACTCGTGAAAAGAAGTAGGCATGACACGGAATTCCGGCCTCCCAAAAATTCCTCTCTGGAAACGGCGCAAACGGGATGTTTCGGTTGTGATTCAAGGTTAGATTGTGCCACGATCATGAGTAAATCTCCGTGCTATAAAGTTTTGGCGTTCGTTACTTTCCTTTTTTCTACTCTAAGCGCTAGATTTTCGTGGGTAGGACCAAGGGGTGTTTTTCGCGTGGCCTGTCTAACATCGGGAGAAAAAATTGCTCTTTCGTCACCGCGCGTCTTTGGCCAAATATATCGAATATTCGAGTGACCGAACACTAGGAATTCGATTCGCGAATCGAATTATTCGGGAACTTGCTATTCGATTCGAATTCGAGTATTCGCACACCCCTAGTTAAAGCATTGTTCGCTCTTCTTATTATCAGATTTCTATGCTCGCCGACGGATGGAGAGGATGTACTGGGATTGAAATGGTCATAGCTGTTTTCGGCTATCTCACGGAGAAGATGTGTGTTCTCAATTTCTAGGTACCGTGGAAGAACAAGTTAGTGCCGAGTGTGGCCCCCAATGTTTTCTCTATCGCTGTGCTTAGGTAAGTTGATTGGAAATTAAGGTCGGCTGCTACACGTGACGCCTACGCGAACTGCTTCTGGTGGGAGCCACCTCATGGCGCCACTGTCATGTCCCGTGCTTCCAACTACCATTGTCTTCTAGTGTGTTTATGTCACACGACACGATACACATTTTTGGCAAATTCAAGCCCAAAATATTTCATGGCCTCTTTATTACTTCTTTTCTTTTTTTACTTTTACGCTTTACGTAAACAAAAGAACTAACATTTTATTGAACAAGCGGAAGCCACACCCGTTCCTGTCTCAATATTTTTCTTGCACATTCACGGGTACCAACATGTCCATGCAGCTGTCATACTTTCACGAGGAAAAAGGTCATCCATCTGAAGTTACGCAAACTTAACGGCGTTTTGAGAGCGCACTCGTCGGCCAAATATTATATATGCATGTTTAAATTAATCAACCTAAACCCAATATCCATGTTTGGCGAAGGTTAGTCTGGGCCTCGAGGAGTTTTCAAAAGGCTTCCAATGAACTAGGGAACAGATCCTCGCAAGTTGTGGTATTCTTAAACTTTTCAGCTTGGCAGTAAATGTCGAAATCGGAGAGAGCACACTGACGCGCGATGTCCTCGTCCTTGGTGATTTTTTTCTTTTCGAAGGACTGCAGGACACTGCCGTCCTCCTCAAGGCAGTAGTAGCGGTCCAAGAGCCACTGCACATGTCGGAAGTTTCCGTACTGGTCGCATGTCCACGAAGGCAGCTTGGCGTAGCCCCTGATCCGGTAGTCCTCGTCTATGGCACAGTCTGTGAAGCCGAAGAGATCATGATCAGGTCGCGTACTATGGTAAATTCGAGAGAAGCTGAAGCTTATCAGAAAAATATATTGAGGTACTCGGTCTCAACTTCTTTTCTGCTACGCTCTCAGGGCTACCCTAGTTTTCACCGCGTTGCAGTCCGGCAGTGCTTAGAAATCAGGTCTATTCGCATTGCTCCCTTTTCGCATGCACTCTCGTGCAAAGGAGACGCCAAACAAAGCCACGCGCTCCCACAAGTATATTTAATATCGTTGGGGTATTGCGAAAGCTGCACTAACCCTAAAATGTGGCGCAAAAAAAAGTTGACGCCGAGCATACACCATTTTATACTCAGTTCACCCTTTAGCCGAGACTGCAGCCAATGCCACAAGCACGAGAGCTCGAGGTCGCTTCTTTGAAGAGTTCTTCCGGAGAACAAGCGCTCGCGCTAGAAATGCAAGTCTCAAAGTCAGAAGCGCGGACTAGCTCGAGCATGCTTTGACTACAGTTTCAGCTTAAGGGTGAACGGAGTACAATATTTGCAAATCCACAGCCCAGAGTGCGATCTTCACAGTCCAGAATGCGCATAGTTGAGATTCCGAAAAGCGAGCAGCATAGAGTTATTATATATTGTACGCTAGAGGTTCAACTGGCATTATTGTTTATGCGACTTCCGGGAGGCGAATTGAAGCAGGCAGCCACCAGTCTAGTTTTGCGGTACTCCTGTTCATTCCTTTGGCAAAACGCGCGTGAATTTTGTCTTTTCGACGGAAAATAACATGTAACACTTTTGTTATTTGGGTCGTACCGAATAGTATCTATTATTAACATTGTAAAGCAGTAATTGCGCTACTTAGCACTTTTTTTTAACCGGTGAACGATGTTAAACTTCGCCATATATTTCTAGTCCAAACCTCTGTTGCACACCAGGGCCCGTTTGCTCGAAGCGCTAATCGCGGCTAAAGTTAGCCGCAATACCTACGAGAGGGATTTTGAAATCCGGTGACTGGCTCGGTAGAGAAGAAGCGGGGAAACATGGCGGTGCCCCGGTGAGTGAGCGCCGCTCGCTTTGGAACTAATATGTCGTTGCAGCTGCAATATCGGGCGCGTTAGTCGGCAACGAATGGCGCAGGAAGCTTTCGCTTTGCTTTACCTCACTTAAATCGCAAAGCATGAGCAATAACCTCGCCGCATTTTTTAGATAGTCTTTCAATTCCTACCATTCCTAAGCCTAAATGAACGTGATGATTGTCGGCATGGCAACGTCTTTGGAAAGCGGATTGCCTTGACTCAATCGGCCGGGAATTGATAACACACAAAAGCAGACAGCGTCCCAATAGACCTTTTTTCTAAATTACCCAAGCATCGAGGAGAACATTGGAAGTGCAATTTTACGGTCCGCGCGCGCTGGCTTTTCTCTTATAAAAGATTCGAAGTAAATAATCGTAATAAGGCTTCGAAAAACGCGCGTGCAAGGCAAAATTTGTTTTAGACTTTTTGCTTTAGAACAATTACTTCTGCAGACGCCAGCACGTGCAACGCGTGTACCTACACTTGTAGCATGCACCTCGGTGCTATTGGAACGCTGTCTGCGTTTGTGTGCTATCAATACCCGGCCGATTGAGTCAAGGCAATCCACTTTCCGAAGATGTTGCCATGCCGACAATTATCGCGTTCATTTAGGCTTAGGAATGGCCAGAATGGAAAGGCTATCTAAAAAATGCGGCGAAGTCATTGCTCATGCTTCGCGATTTAAGTGAGGTCAGGCAAAGCGAAAGCCTCCTGCACCTTTCGTTGCTGACTAACGCGTCCAATATTGCAGCTACAACGACATATTAGTTTTAAAGCGAGCAGCGCTAACTCAGCGGGGTACCGCCATGTTTCCCCGCATCCTCCCTACCGAGCCAGTCGCATCATGATTTCGAAATCCCTCGCCTAGGTACTGCGGCTAACTTTACCCGAGGTTAGCGCTTCGAGCAAACCGCCCCTGGTGTGTAAACACAAGCTACGATTCTGAGTACAGTGTTATTCTGAGCAAAATAACAATCGAAAGGAATATAAGGTGAGTTCAAGGGTCGCTAGCATTCGGGTGATGCTTATATATTGCTAATATGCCAGTTGTGTCATTATATGAGAATTACCCCACCTTGCATCTTTACGAGCGATTAAAAACATTCAAAACCTCAAGAATAAAATACGTGGTCTATGAATGATGTCTTTTTTTTATTTTTTCTATGCCGCGCAGCTTTCATGGGCACTTGTTCTCAAAGATTTCGAGCGTGCGGGTGATGTTTTGAACGTGGAACAAGCATCTTCGCAGAGCATAAAGAATAAGGCATTACTTATGCTAAAATCAGACTATATTACATGGCCTTAAATTTATTTTGATCGTACATGCACAGGGAGCTTCTGCTCCAGTGTCACTGCGTATTTTTTGCCGTCTTTCTTCGTTTTTCAGATGTCCTTCTTTCGTTTGGCACGTATATTCCCCATGCTGAAAAGCGCCGACGCCGCGTTCGCGCTAACAGTGTCCGACAGTGCACATAAATACACCTACGAAGCCGTTTTAGCTCCGTTTTCAATACAGTAAATAGTAAATTAAAACGCCCTATCTGAGCGATTCTTTCGTCGGCCTGACTGGGAAATGTTCCAAGCTGCCTAGTATACGTACTTGTTATTCCGGATATTTGCTCTTAGAATCGAGCGCAAGGAGAAAATGCACTCATCTTTTCTATAGAAACGCATTACCGGAAGTCAGTTTTCGACTGATTGCTGTCTGCTTCAATTCGCCGCAGCACACTAGCGCCATTGAACTTCTAGCGTACTTTATAATAACTGTTTGTCGAGCAGACCAGGCGCCAAAAGCACGAACGCTAAAAACGGCAGCGGTAACGAGCCCTTTTTTGGAATGATGAATACTTCCACATCTTATTGTGCCACATTGTCAAGGCTAAACTAGTTGTCTTAATGCTCCAACGCCATCAAAATGGCAGCGGCCACTTCGATTCGCTGGTAACAGGTTAAAAATTATGTAATGTATGCACCTTAAAAGAATGCAAGCCAAACCGCTAGCCAATTTCTCCCTCTTGTTTTCATGACGTAAATACTCCAAAAACGAACTTCTACGACACCGCAGGGTGCGCCTAAAGACTTTTTTTTTTTTTAACTTCGATGATTTTTTTTTTTTTTTTGCCACAGTGTGCGTCGCCAAATCACAAAGGTATCTTCGTTGGTTCACGAAAGCTTTTGTGTAAAGACATGAAAATTTTATGGTGATATCATCACAGTCTTCATTGTTAGCGGTTACTCAAGCTATTGGCTGCCGCTGTTCTATCTAAGAGTATTTTTTTCATATATAGGGTGTCTGAAGTCACCAGGCTCGATCTAAAATGGACCGTAAAAATCGACGCCTGCACGAAGCACTCTGAACTTTTCGTCAAAGGTGTATTTCACAGGTCCTTTCTTTTTTTTCTTTTCTTTTGTGCGTAAAATTAGAAAACGTAGCTCTCTTTTGGTAAAATAGCTTGCTAGAGTCAACAGCGGGCGGCGACTTAGGCGACCGAGTCTAGTGGCGGGGTGCGTTTGGCGCACGTATTGGTAGATGATGCTTCCTCCTTATCGAGACTGCTCGCGACGACCGTGATTTACTAAAATGAAGATAATCTTTGTGTACTGTACTTTTGGTTCAAAAATAAATTGGACAATAAAAGCAAAAATTGAAGTTAAAAAGAAAAAACCCGGTGAGGTTGCATAACGACGGCGTTTTTGCTGCCGACGGATTTCGTTTGCGTGTCGTCTGCTTTCTTTCGGTGGTTGGCTACACCTTCCGACGCTGCTACTCATGCCATCTATCAATACCTGCGCCAAACGCGCCCCGCCACTTTACTCGGTCGTCTGCGTCACCGCCGCCATTGACCCTGACAAGTTTTTTGGCCATATTTTTGTGCAGAAAGGGAGCTACGCTTTGTAATTTTACAAGAAAAAAGGAACTACAAAATACACCTTTGACGAAAAGTTTAGTTTTTTTCACGCAGGCGTCGATTTTAACAGTTCATTTTAGCTCGAGCTTGGTGACTTCAGACATTTTTTATAGTCTTTAGCTTATGCCTTATGCGACGTTGACAGATTGCAGTGGCATCAGCTCCTGGTACGCCCTCAAACTGGTATGCGGTGTATGATTTGTAAGAGCGGCACTGCAACCACCAGATATACTTCACTTGACTAATAAATAAATGCTGCATTCCGCATTTATTCGTTCAAAAAAGTGAAAGCTGCTTACAACTCCCTGTAACGCCGAATTAGAGCGCAGCTCTTGAGGAGGAGGAGGGAAGGGCACTGGGGGGGGGTTAAACTAACCAGGGGGGGTCACGTGACCCCCAATGCCGATGATGTCATCACTGAGGTCACTGATGACGTCATCATTGACGATGACGATGCGGGTACCGATGACGTCATTAGTGACATCACTGTTTACTTCACCAGTGATGATGACGATGACGATGCGAATGTCGGTGACGTCATCAGTGACGTCGCTGATGACGTCATCAGTGACGTCGCTGATGACGTCATCAGTGATGATGACGATGACGATGCGGATGTCGGTAACGCCATCAGTGATGATGACGATGACGATGCGGATGCCGGTGACGTCATCAGTGATGATGACGATGGCGATGCGGATGCCGGTGACGTCATCAGTGACGATGACGATGACGATGTGGATGCCGGTGACGACATCAGTGACGTCACTGATGACGTCATCAGTGATGATGACGAGGACGATGCGGATGCCGGTGACGTCATCAGTGATGATGACGATGACGATGTGGATGCCGGTGACGTCATCAGTGATGATGACGATGACGATGTGGATGCCGGTGACGTCATCAGTGACAATGACGTCATTGGGGGTCACGCGACATCGGCGGGGGTCACGTGACCTCAGGGGAGTCACGTGACTTCGGGGGGTCACGTGACCTCGGGGGGGTCACGTGCCCCCACGAGGTCACGTGACCCCGGTGGAGGGCTCGCGCGGTGCATTATGGGACATTTCCCATGATGCACCGGGGTCACGTGCCCCCCACGAGGTCACGTGACCCCGGTGGGGGGCTCGCGCGGTGCATTATGGGACATTTCCCATGATGCACCGCGCGGTTACGCCGACGCCGACGCCGACGCCGACGCCGCTCAAGCCGGAAACGGGCCCCTAAGAGCTGCGCTCTAAAATGTCTTTTTTTTACCCAATATACCATGCATGCGCCATAACCGTAGTTCACAGGAGGCAGACACCAGTTCGCGAGACAGCTCGTGTCGTAATATGCTCTGTTCGCGCAGACCCCCAGCAAGGTTGTCGCGCGTGCAGAAAGACTACATTTCCCACGATGCATGCCGGCAGCGGTGGTGCAACGAAACTGGCTGGTCCGAGATCGGCCTATTACGAAATATTGCACCCTCGACAAATATCTCATCGTCGAAATCGGCCACACGACCAACAAGGTATAATCAAGGATTACCTAATCCCACTCCCCACGAAGTGACTTAGTTCGTGTAACGAAGTCACTGTCGTGTTCTGTCGTCACAGACCTGAGGCCCGTTGGTTCAGAAAATCGAGCGAGGCGACAATGTCTCCCCTGATTAGCGGCGATTGAGCTTTGCTCGCCCAGCTCTTGCATGAAGCCGATGTCGCGGAGAAGGCGACGTACCATTTTCTCGACAGCGGGGGGAACTGAAGACGGTGAATAACGTTTGTGAACGGAGCTCGTCAACCCGAGTCACCGGGTTTCTAACCTGTCACCGACTACTACTTTCCTCGTACTTCCGTGCTTTCCACGCGCGTATTAACGGAATATGTTGCCAATCAATTACGCAGACGCGTGGGGTAACGCGGTGTCACGCGGTCAGGCATAAGACAGAAAGTCAATGGCAGCAAAATAAACACCTAGGCAAACTTTTTTTTTTTTCAATGACTCCGGCCCTCATCTTAGCGTCAATGAAGGCGTCACAGCGCAGCGCGTAATCGTGAGTTAAAAGGTTGTTTGGACAGCGCCTCTGGCTGATAGCCCTCCATAGGTGTCAGATTTCCCCGCAACTCTCCGCAACTCTGTAGGGAAGACTTCCTTATTTTCTTTTCTTGTGCTACGTCAAATGGTGTATCGCCGGTAGAAAAAACACGCAATGATAATTTTCTGCTGCTCCGAAGGAAGGTTGGGTCCCAAGAACACTGCTCTCCTCGCGCGTTGTGGCTACTGATGACAAAAGTGTAGGGCTTTATTGCTTCCGTGTTATTTGCACTGGCGTAGCCAAGTTGTCTTCTTACCCACCTCCCATTTTCCCGTCCTAATGCCATTAGCAACAATGTCTCTCTAAAAACAACACGCTTGTTTGTAAAAGGTTTGTAAAAGCTGTAAAGTACACAAGTGTTAGAAAATAAAAGCTTCCCAGCGTTAAAATATTAAATAAACGAGGTCAAAAAAAAATAAAGAAATTCGGTTTTTACGTTGCAATTTAACGAAAGGCATCTGGCACGTCCCAGCGATGAGCTGACAATTAATTTTAACTTCCTGCGGATCTTTTGACGTGCAACCGAAACCTCGGGTGCACGACTCCTTCTCCGCAATAAGCCCCGGATACGAATCCCTAGGTGACCGGGATTCGAACCCACCACCTGAGGATCTATAGGCCTGCGCCTTCCCTCTGAGCCACCGGAGCGGCATTCGTTATTTTGCCGCATCCCAAAGTTGCGTGTTAATCTTTTACTTCTTGCCAGAAAATTCGCCTCATAGAAAACGTTCATTTTAAGTCTTACGCGTTGAGGTACCCTATATTTGTGACGTTTTTGGTAAAAGTGATAGCGTTCGGTATACCTATACAGCCTCTGTGGAATCAACTGCAATGACAACTGGTTACGGCGAACAAGAAATAAAGAATGATAAATTATGAGAGCACAGTAGACCAGACGACAAATGGAACTAAGGTCCCTGTATAATCGAAGGGTGCGCGATTCATTGTTCTGCAAATCGGTTCAATAACGGCGGCACGTGGTCAAGGGAGACAGAGATCGGTAGAGGGGGAAACGCCGTAGGCCACTCACGGCGTCGCATGGACGTGCGTTAAGGCCCATTGACTCCCTCTCGTTTTCTCAGTACCTTGCGCCTTAAAACCTCTTAGGACGAGAGAACACTCTGCCACGCTGTCTTCATCTATGATATGGCCCTGGAACTCTATTTCCCTAGAGCGAACGTTTTGCAGCATTTGCGAGGTCAGATGTTCTACTATATGAAAGCAAGGGTTGTTGTCAAAAGCTTTGTCACACGTTGTCTTGTGACAACATTGTCACAAGTTTTTTAAGCCTAGAAAGAATGATGAGCGAAACAAAATAGCAAATATACAGAAAGTGCAAGTGTTCCACGGCCACCCGATAGATGCCGCCAACGTATTCTCTTGTAGTGACAGATTTTGAGGGGTTTTAAGGTGCACGGTGGTAAGAATTTGGAAGTGTGTGGGCCAGTCTTAAGGCTCAAAACAAAGAACAGCTTTCGACGAATGACGAACACCAGACTGCAAACGACGCCACGATAGCAAAAAAAAATGTTCACGAAGCGTTTTTATTTATATATATATATATACAGTAGTGAACAAAAAAATATGATATTTCGTTTCTTTCACACAAAAATATATTATATTTTGTTTCTTTTACAGAAGCATTGCTCGACGTCTAGTTGATTGATTCATGTTTAAGTAAGCATTAGTTTCTACTCTATAAATACGTTAATGTAGTGTTCCATTACAATTTTTATATCTGTACCACAGTTCGAAGAAAGGTTACCCACGTGAAACAGAAATATCATATCTTTTTGTTCACTACTGTATATATATATATATATATATATATATATCTACACACAAACGATAGCGACGACAGTGAGCAGCAGCGAATAGCACAAACTGACGATGACAATCACAACGAACGGTGACGACGATAAAAGAGAGGGACAAGGGCGTTGACAACGACAAGCGACGACAGTCGGTTGCGACGACGATCATTGGTGACGACAGTGAACGACAACAAGAACGCATAACGAGCAAAGGGTGACGAAGTACCGATGCCAATAAATGAATGACAAAGGAAGAACGACGAAAACGAACGATGAAAGATGAAGAACGAACGATTGGTAATGAACAACAAACAACAAACGACAAATCCCCTACAACAAATGGGGATTAGAAACTGACTTAGATCCTCCCAGCTAGTGACTGAGTTTGAAGGCATTGACATACTTATCGAGTGTTTTCCCAAAGAGTTTCAGCTCCATTGCATAAAAGTGTAGCCAATCCGAAGTGAGGCGCCCATCTGCCTATAGAGAAATTTCGGCATTATGTTGTCGAGAAAACAAAAGCCACAAATAATAAAATAACCGAACTTACAACAGCGCCACGAAAAAAAAATCAAAGCGAGGATCGAGACAAGAAAAACCTTCTAACTCCCCTCGCTTAGAAGGGATAAGTTGAACGTTCTTGACAGCACCGAGACTGAGGTAATCGATCAGCTCTCTTCCACGGCTGTGGCTTGAGGTAGCGGAAAGTACACCAACCGTTCGGGCATGGTGAACTCCGTATTCGAGTCTCTGTCTGGAACCACTAGGTTTGGTGCTCATACTCGATATTTCCTTTATCAACCGGAAACGAATATGTGTATCTCGAAAATGTTTATGTAGTTTGTTTAACTTTTGTTATCTGTTAACTTGTAGAAGCGTACAAAAAAAATAAGTCTTAGGCGCTTCGGGATCGATTGCGTCCTTCGCAACGAAAAAAGGCTTAGGGCGTTTTGGTCCTAGGGCCAGGGGCCCATTTAGGAAAATCATTAAAGTCCGGGATAATTAAGTTGTTAATTATTTTAGCGTAATTAACTTTTTAATATTGTGTTTAAGGGTAAGGTTTTAATTAAAAAATTGTTCAGCATCATCGAAAAACACTAAATCAACAAATTGCAGAACGATAGAAGGCACGCGAAGCATTTTTGCGGCTTTCTGGAAGCCGCACAAAATCGACCGGTTTTTAAGTTTCGGTTTGCTATCGGAGCGCATCTCAGCCCCGGCGGCACCGCGCCCCGTGGAGAGACACTGCAACCAGCCTCTGCTGCGTCGCGCGATGACAGCGCAGTTTAGTTTCAGTTGGGACGTCTCTCGGCCTGCAAAAGAAGCGTAGACGAAAACTTTGGTACTTTACGTCGAAATTGAAGATCGCACGCAGAATTGAGTCATGCGAATCGGGCAGAATAAATTGGCGATCGCTACGGGTTACACTAGTCAACGTCACCTTGTATCCACTGTTGGCAGCGAGCCGTTTTACCCAAACACCACTTCAAGTTTACCAATTGTCGGAGGCCTACCCAATCACTTGATGTTCCAAATACCACGTCGACGACGCGTATACCCTTAACGTGGTCTGCGTATCGTTATCGTTTGAATGTGAAGACGGTCATTTAAACTTGCAGACGGCCGTTTAGACGTGCAGACGATCGTTTTAACGGGAAAACGCGTTGAATGCGATCCGGATGGTCTGGACCACCTGAAAGGTATCCCGCATTTGTTTGGGAACAATTCAAATAAATATGACGGCAACAAGGTTTTTGTGAATTCACCAAAAGTGCTTCCCGCACAGGCGCTTGAGTCCGACATTGTCTCGTTTTCCCATTTCACGGCGTCTACCCGCGTTCTCGGATAAAGAGGGCAGGCAGAAAACACTTGAAAACTTATCTTGACACTTTTTCCCAGCCCTTTCGCTGCAGTGTCTGTCTACAACATTGTGTGGGTTCCCCCCTTCTCCCCCCAGAAAAGCTTATTTTTACATAAACATTGTTTGAATGCCGGGCCGGCACGGCGTTTCTTGCCCACACAGCGAACCGGAAGTAAACGCAAAACGCCACCGTCGCAAAAAGAAAAAAAATTACGTTTGCATTTAAGCCGCGCAAGGTGTCGACATACCTTTGAGGTGTGACGACACTGATTTACGCTGTATATGAAGCATTTAGCCAGTGCGGAACCACCGCTGGCCTGTGTTCTTTATCGTGCAGAACGAAATACCGCGACCTAACAATTAAAGGGGCACTGATACCCCAAAGGTCGTATTTATTTTTGTTGTCTAAAACGATGCAAGTTGCAGCCATAGACACGCAAAAAAAAACGCATCGCGAAAAAAAATTTTCCCGCGCGCACGCGCCCCTTTTTATTTTTGGCGTTTGATTTTCCCGCCTCTCGCCTCCTCGCTTCTTTTGATCGGTGACGTCAAAAATCAGGAAATTTAGAAGCTTTGTAGGCGACATCTCTATAACATTTAATGACGGCAATCCTAAAACATGTTTTTTAACGCAATTGCGAACGCACTACGGCCCTTCTTTTTGAAATACCAAAAATCGGGAGTTCGTTGTGGTGCCGTCTCCTGGATTTGTATCCTCCAACGGAAAACAGGCGTCACCGCTCAAAACCGGTCCGCCGCAAAACCGGTGCTAGCCGGCGCTCGCTCCTTTCCTCCTCGCTTTGGGTCGCCATGGCAACAGCAGGGAGTGGTGACAGGAAAGGGGACTCTCAGGTCTCCGCAATTTTTGACGTCAAGGCACCGGCGCCGATCGCGCGGGAACTTCGAATTCGGCATTTGGAAATTGTTTTTTTACTTCACGAATACTGAATTCCCAAATTTCAAATTTTGAGGGTAATGTCCCGGCATCGTTTTCGACCGTTTCGGATAATAAAAAAAAAATATGATTTTGATGTGTCAGTGCCCCTTTAACCGTCACAAGAGAGTTGAGTCGGTGTATATAAGCAGAAAGCAAGCGGGGGTCGCGGAGTCAAGTCCTGAGTTGATTTTTCAGCGTTGGAGCTTTTGGAAGTCTTAGCGTCTTGGCAGGAAGAGCAGGGCCGCGAACGGACAGACGGCATGTGAGTTAGTAAACTTCGGATTGCACTCACTGTGTTGCGTCGTTTTATTGGGAGCAACTAGAGCGTGGCTTGATTGAATTGGGAATCGGATAGGGTAGAGTTACCAACAAGAAGGGTGGAGAAAATCATGATTAAAAATAAATTTAATTAATTCAAATTTATTTGATTTGATTCAGATCTTATCTTTTTAAAGCAGGTCAATTTGAATTAAATTACTGTAGCCGGAAAATTGAAAATCCTAACCACTAGACGCATTTCTCAATGTGGCATGTGATTTAATCGATTCATCCGATCAGTGATAATCACCAAAATAATCCCTGGAGTAGGAGAACAAGAGGAACAGATGCAGATTTTTTCGGTCGCGCACCAGTCACCTAGCGGTGTTTGTAGATTTGTGTTCCTCCTTCGTCCCTCTTGTTCCCCCTCTCCAGGGATTATTTTCGTCATTCTTGTCCAGCTCGCTTGCATTTTTGCATTTAATTGCATTATAAAGAAAGCTGATAATGCGAAAAAAATCATTAATGTAAATGTAAAGTGCACTTTAATAACAACGTTTGATTGCTGTAATGACCGCCATAGTAGAATAAAAACAGTTTGATTTTCTTTTTAATTTGTTAAAAGTTTTATTTGATTTTTCTCGCAAATTCTGACTTCATTGGAAAAGAGCATTATATTTACAGTCGTCGCACTTTTGCGTTTTCATTTTGTTTCAGCATGACGTTGCATGGCTGACGAACAAAATGGAAAGTACAAAATACACATAGACAATACAGAAATGCACGTAGAAAGCATCACATGATAAACAAACGGTGAAGGAAAATATGTTTTCGGAATTATTTTGCGGGAAAAAGTTGGATTTATATCATCGTATGAAAATTGGTATGTTCTCTAACAAAGTTTAAATCATGATAAAAATCACTATTTAAATCGTATGGGTTTTTATTCTCTACCCTGCCCACGAGACACACACGAGCACATAAAATACTAAAAGTTCAAGGTCTCGGCACATTCCGTGCGCTTGGTTGATTTCGCCGATGAAGGCACAATCATAGAAAGATTCTGCGCGCTGTGACGTATTTTCTGGTGCTGTTTGATTCATCCCATCGGCTCGTACTATGGGCTTTGCACTCTCATAAGGTAAAACGAACTATAGGCGTTGGCAAGCAGTCATGTTTCAAAACCTAGTTCGGCCACCGTGGATAGAAATAGTTTTCTTTGGGAGCCAGCTGGCAGCCGTGGGCACTCCTTAGTAATTCTTAACTATGGCTTGACTACGAGACGATCTACACACGCCAGCGGCTAGATGGCAGCGCTCAGGGGCTAACATCTTGCCGGTCAATTTAAAGCTTACTTGTGCCTCACCATACTGTGTTTAAAATGCTTCTTGCAGTTTTTGGTATCTTGCAAATACATTTAGTCTAGAGTATTTGCTACTCTAACTTAATTACATTTCTCACTATCTTGTACTCATTATCTCAAATGCATTTTGCAACCACGAAAAAAAAAATTCGCTGGAACAATATGCGGAACTAGAAATCGTCACATTGCATGAAGAAACTGAACTGATTGCAAGAAGGGGAAACAAGGCACGAGAAAAACGCAGTCTCCAAATGCCAACGAAAGACCAAATGGTCTTTTGTTGGCATCAGGGGTTTTCCCAGGAATTAAAGTTAGGGGGGGGGGGGGGGGGGGGAAGGGAGGGGTTATTGAGAATAGAGGAATTGTTGCGAATTAAGGAAGTGCCTTCAGAAAAACGAGGGGGGGGGGGGGGGTGTAGAGCAATCACTGGTTGGCGTTTGGAGACATTTCGAGACTCCCCCTCCCCATGTGCGCCCGTCTCTGTGTCCTCTTGTCCAGTTTTTCCAACTGTACTTGGAGCTAGCAAAGTAATGGTGACGTCATCCGGATTTTATCCTCAAACCCCATCTTTTGTGTGGAGCTACAGTGGTTCCGTCAGCAGAAAATTGTGACGCCAACGCTCGGTGCGATTACAATCAACCATTTCCGGAAGTCGCCGGTTCAGAGGTTCCGGTACGAAAATGCGCGAACACATTTACATGCGAGCACAGGCACTCCCTCGGACAGAGAAGCTTGGTCCTGCTGGCTTTATTGAGCTGCAATGACGTATATTGTGCTTCCTTGAATCTCCTTGTTTGCCTATTGTGGCTTAACTTTGGCTCCCAAGCTCGTGCAAAAGCATTTCTCTCATCTCCTTCCAAATACCCGCATTGTTTCACCCTCAAAATCCTCGGAACAAGTTTTCGCCAGGTGGAGTCATTTACGAACTAGGGGGTGCTAATTCTGGAACCTTGACCATCTAGACCACAGTGCATCAATAATGGTTCCAACTGGTGCAGAGGGGGCAGGAGAAGTGGGTTTAGAAGGGGTTTTGTGAACTCTCCTGTGTTTTGCTCTTGACCTTCTGATTTATTTTGCTCTTTCTTGCTTTTGACTGGGGGTATAAAGTATTCACTCTTAGTTGCTAAAAGCAACAGAGGCTGCAGTCCTCGAGTCGTTGTTTTTCTTGAGCGTGTACCTGTGTCGTTCACTCGCGTTCTCACCAACGAGTCTGGCTGCCTGATGAACTTCTAGTTCGGCTGTTATGGATATGCAATGCCGGACTGCATTTTAAGTCCCCCAAATCGAAGCGGGGTATATTACGAACTTATTGCGGATAACGTCATGAGTCGAGCCTGCCGTCAAACTAAAGCATGTCTTAAAATATAAACGACAACAACCAAAAAGAAACAGCGATAACAACCAAAATGTATGAGATAGAACTAGAGCTACTAATATTTTTGCCCCTCCTTCCTCGAAACGTGCCGAAATGAACTCAGAGTTGAGGTAGCTTTCAATGTTAATTTTTTTAATAATTTAATGAAAATATTATTCTACTGATCATAAATAAACAATGATCATGATCAGTAGAACACTGGAACGAGTCAATTTGACAAAAAAAAACGACATTATAGAAAAGAGTTTGCAAATTGTTATCAGACAATAGACCCTTTTTAAAATTCAGTGCCATATGGTAGATCAAATAGCACTTTACCTTTTAAAAAGCTATTGGCGGTAATTGACCTGCAGTTTGTAGTATTTGACCGGGCACCGTCACTTAATTCTGCCTGTCAACATTAGTCGAGAATGTGTGTTTGTACCTTACAATTATCTCTCAGTTTCGATAGTGGCAAATATACAACCGGTAACACGAAGCACTGGCCCACATTAAAGCCGCGATCAAATTTTATACGTCAAGCGGCTGTAAAGCCGATCATTTGCCGCCAACAAACTGACTGGACCCAAGTTAGAAATAAATGCTTATGCATCTCTTGCATTCAATTTCTGCGTCGCACGTACTAACGTCTCAAATCTATAGGGCTCGCATCATCCGCTTCGGAGCATCTTCAACTTCTTCCGTCATCAGTAGCCACAGTCCGCCATTAGCACAACACATATTTCATTCCTGAGATGATGATTGTGATCAGAGTTACCCGACTGAAGTTTGCAGAGGGTCTATTACACGAAGTGATATTAGGAGAAGTTTAAACGTAGTGAAAATTTTATATTTCTCATAAACACTGCCAATTATAACGAGCTTGTTGCGCTCAAGAAACGGATTAGCTCGACATTGCGTGCTTTCACAAGTTAAAGGAGCCTGTGACGCCTGGCTTCGTTCTTGTGTTCCAAATATGTGTATATGCTTTCGTCCTAATTTATTTAGCGTATGTGTCGCTATTAACTAGCTTTGCATCCCAAGCGTGCATGGTCATTATTTTTTCCATGCTTCGCTGCGAGGGTTTTGCCTTGTTATCACGAAGTCCCTGCCATCACGTGCGAGCTAAGATAAGATGTCGGTCATACCTCAAAACGTTGAAGCAACACACGCTGCGCTCTTACATTACATCATCACGCAGAATTCTTTGCAAATATTTGCCTCTTTCAAACGTATACAAGATGTTGAACACCCAAATGTAACAAACGTATACAAGATGTTTAACACGCAACCTTAGGCGCCCTCTAATCAATGAACCCTAAATGTCCAACATTTCCAGCGGTTTCTCAATTAGGAAATACGATGAATAGAAAAAGCGCAATGGTGACTGTTCAAACACTCGAGGGATTTAAAGACATTCTGGAATTCCCGGAAATATGTAAGCAGAAAAATAACTAGCCATACGCGCACACGCATTGAAAAGAACGAGGGAAATTCATCCTAGGAAGACTGACATCCTGCCTTTATTTATAATCATTTAACAAATGGCAGTCGAAGTATGGCTAAACGAGAAAGTGCAGATGTTCACTCTGTTTTCAAATAAATTTAGACCTTTCATTCAAAATTTCAAAATCTCTCCCGAGAAACTCCGTTGCGCTTCTTTACCGCTCAGAACTGAATATTGCTTTCACGAGAAAATTCCCAACTAAAGTCAAATAAATTGATGATCCAAGGTGGGTATGAGGTGTAAATACTCGGACACATTCTCCGATTGTTCTAAATATTTGACCGCAGTCGGCGGAAACTTAAACTTAGCAGAGACTGCAGATAAAAAACCTTTTCCCTTAGGAAGTTGTTGGGCCGATGGCCCCATCAAATCGCACAAAAACAAACTTTCCTGTCGATAAAACATTTATGATTTACAGTGATATGAAAAGTCCTTGCTAGTATGTATTTTGATGCATCGTTAAACTTTGCTATCATTTGTGTACCTATGCACAAGGTGCATGTGCCCATGTGTGAGGAAGCTGCTGAAAACTTGCGATAGGTGACATTCGTCGTCGTAAGGCCTTCACCGGTGTTGATTAGGTTAACTCCTTTTCTGTTTATGTTTATGCGTGTGTACATGCCGGGGGAGGCATACTGGGTGTGGCATTGCGTGACATTCATTGCGACTGTGACACTAACTATTTTTGTAAAGTGCGCAAGCGTAAAGAAACGTTTATATGTACACAGTTCTTGTTTTGTAATTATTTAAAGAAAATATTATTTTCTGAGAATGGGAGTAGCCAGCCGCATTTACAATTGCTAACATTGTCATTTGTTTTTATAAAAGATGGAGGAAGAAGACAGGAAGAAAAGATCGTGTCCGTGACAAACAATATATGATCGCAAAGTCCGCACTTTGGGTGTAAACTTCAGAGACAAAACTAGGAATAATAGTATTACCTCACCAAGATCAAATGTGTGTAATGCATATTGTTACATTATAATAGAGAAAAAAATTACTTACTGCAGGACATTTCTTTCAAGGCACCTGTTTTCTGCTCATAGGCATAGCTTTTCAGCGAAACCCCTTGGTTGTTGCTACACACGCAGCTGCAACAAAAAAAAAACACGCGTTTTACGTAGAAATAACAACTGAGTTCTCTTCCAGTTTTCACGAACACCAATTTATTAGAAACGTCTTTTCTGGAGGTTAATACATTTTTTTATGTTGTTACTTCCGACTACTAAACATGAACAGTGAAACAAAGTTTTGCCCCAGATGACCACTGTATAAAAAATAAACGCCAGCATTGTTAGTAGCCGATAATGTGCTCAAACAACGTCCAGAACATTTATCACCGAAAACGCAAATAACAATAAAAAAAAAGTAGGTCATCGCTAAAAAAAAAATACATAAAGGTGATTTTAAATTGCGGCGCAATTTTCTCAATACGTTTCCTTCTCTATGCGGCGTATACGATTTGAATCACAAGCACGGGCGTCGCGACGAAATGACACAAATATAGTACGCAGTCAAATTTACCAGTCTAGCTAAGATTTTTCAATAGAGTAAAGCAAAAATAATATCCTTTAAGTAAGCTTAAGTGCGTCCTTGTATTCATTACTGCCAGGTGCACAGAAAAGACTCATGGTTAACTATCGTACTGCACTAAATAAATAGAGCATCAAAAGCGCGAACCACTGCGGCGCTAGATAGTATCATTGGCAGGCCGACCTCTCCCTTACTAAACATTCAACTTCTAATTTGGTTTTTCTTCTGCTTTAGCGCAGTTTATTGAACAAACAGAGATGCAAAAATTGTTAAAGAGAATACTGAACACAAAAACCATACAACCTTCCGCATCTCCTGTGACATAAATGTACGATGTCCTTTCTAACAAATAACAATCATAACTCCCCGCGCAAGTTATATTCTAAAGCTAGTATTGAAAAACAATAATTATATGGTACACTCGAAAAAATAGGTAGCGTTTATTCTCTGGCAAAGCTTTTGGCAGAGCCCATTGCTGCGATTTTCAAAGGGAGCTCGGCAAATTACGAGTTTGAAAATATCTTAATACATTTTCAGCTTGGGGAAGGGAGGGGGGGGGGGGGGGGGGGGGGACAACCCAACATAAAGTCGCAAACACAGTTGAAATTTATGGGAAAGAATATCGTGGTTTTATAGGGTACAGGTGCCCGGAAAACCAAATAATAAGGGGAGAGGATGAACTTCTTTTTCCCGAACGCACAGTAGAAGGAGGACATTGACCAATAGCACACCGGTACTGTTCTTACGCAAACAAAAGGGGGGAGGAAGAAGATCTCTTAACCCACCTCGGTGAGGTCCAGATACACATCACAAAAAAAGGGCTGCGGGATGGTGACCCATTAGGGGAAAGATCGAACATGGACAAAGGCGAACAACCCCTGACATTCATCACACCCGAAACAAAGGGGCAGGGGTGAAACTTAAACCCGAAAAAACAACATCCTACACATATATAAAGGTGACCTCCAAACAATCAAATTTGTAAAAATCTTTTCAACTCCGTGTCCAAATTAAAATACGGCCTATTTACTGCATATCCGTGGCTAATAATAGTGAGGGACTCTTTTACCAAGCATTTATGATCCTCTCTCTCTCGGTCAACACAACCGATGTGGAATTCCATAAAGGTACACAATTATTACATTCTAACACATGTTTTGACATTTCTCAATACTGATCTTAGTTTCGAATACAACGTTTGTGTTCAGTTAAGCGATCATTCGAACACCACTTCGTTTGTCTAATGTAACATAACCCGCAGGCAAAATGAACCTTGTAAACTACTTCCGACACACAATCAACATCTTTTTCTCTGTGTGTGTGTTTTTTTTTTTTTTTTTGGTACATCCAGTTCTGGCCGAGTTGAACGGGGTCAACCGACTTAGTCTGAAATCATTTCTGAACGCAGTGCTGATGCCGTAGCGGTTGCGGCTAATTTCAGATTATGAGAAATACGATGGAACAAAGGAAGAACAATACGCCTGGCAGATTCACGAACCTTTGCATATTTCTTTTTCATATTAACCCCGTGCAACAACTCTTTGAACACATAATCCTCGGGGAAACCTAGCACGCTGAAGCGGTTAAGCGTTGGCGTTGGAGCGCAGAACCAATGGAGTGCGAACAAGATTTCTTAAGTGCACTATCTACTAAATTCCTGACTATGCCAGCCTTGATATTCTTCTAGTGACAACTATTGAAAGGCAGGAGTGGTTTGACTTCCGTTTTGCCATACTGCCAACACATACTGGAGGGAGTTTTAGCTGTATATCTAAAGACTGCAGGCAGTCATTTACGGGTCTTTCTACTGAGAATTGCAGCTCTGACGCACTCTCATAGACGAAGTTTTATACCAACGATGACAGTGAAGAATTGCCGTAAGAACAGCTTTGAATGAGACCAACTAGACGCATATCCAAACAGCTAAGATAAATCTCCGAGAGGACTGGGGCCACGGCCGAACCAATACATATTCCTTGTTTTTGAACGAAATCTTGACCATCATACTTTACCACTGTTGCCTGGAGGTACAATTTGTAAAATTCTAATTACAATTCTAAAATCCTTTCTTTTGTGATGTGTATCAGGACCTCACCAAGGTTGGTTAAGAGATCTTCCCCCTCCCCCCCTTTTTTTGAGTTAGAACAGTACCGGTGTGCTATTGGTCAATGTCCTCCCTCTCTAGTGCGTTCGGGAAAACGAAGTTCATCCTCTTCCTTTTTCATTCCTTTTGGTTTTCCGGGCACCTGTACCCTATAAAACCACGATATTCTGTCCAATAAATTTCAGTTGTGTTTGAGACTTTGTGTTGTGTTGTCCTCCTCTCCCCCCCCCCCCCCCAGTTTCGGGGTTTTGTCCAAAATGTTAAACCTTCACCAGCTTGCTTGCGCCCTAAATTCTTGATCTTAATGCATTTTTTAACAGTCTGTGATGTAGCCCTGAGCATGGTGAAACAGCTTTCGCAGCGCCACAGGAAATTGAAGATATCTTAATACATTTTTTTAAACAATCTGTGATGTAGCCCTGAGCATGCTGAAACGGCTTGCAAGGTGCCACAGGGCGCAGGCTATTCTTTTCTTCTTTTTTTGTGTGTGTTCTAAAGATGAAATGTCATGTTGTCGCCAGCCACGACCCTGGCGGTGTAAAAGCAGCGGTGACGGATGAGGCAGCTGCGCCTGCAGTGTTCTGCTACAGGTTGCTCTCCAGCTTGTCAGTTCACGTAAGATTTGGTAAAAAGAAGTCGGGACGCCGCGACGACAGCGACACTGGCGTTCGCTCGGGCTCTTCGCGGTCTTTCTGCGGTCAACCACCAGGATCGCGACCTCCGACAGCATGACACACCGGCTTTTATGACGCCACTTGTTGCCAATGATGATGTCCAAGCACGCTTTCGTCTCCTTCTCTCCTTCAGTTTCTCGGCGCATACTTGAGACTAAAACACGTTGCTACAACTAAAGTTTTCCGGTGCCACAAACTTTTTTTTTTATATTATCCAGAGTAAAATATAACAAAAACATACCTCTCAGAGCGTCCGCACTGAACTCTGGCGTAGCCCCCGTCGATGTCGCAGCGATTCATCTCCAACCCCACCAGAGTCTGTCCCTTCTGGCTAAATTGATGCACCAGGGACCGGACTCGGGTCATCTCCCTCTCGCAGATGGTCAGGTAACCACCGGCGTATCTCTCGGCATCGTCTGCATGGAAACACAGAGGCAGCGACAACGACAGACAGTTGGGACGACGTAAAACAAAAACCATCAGATTCAACAAGATGCCGTTTGATGGAACTATTTGCCATTCAACTGGGCGGTTACTGATTTTCCTTGTGGGAATTATCTGAGCTTCCGTTTCCGCGTCATGTCCTCTCACAACGGTATTTGAATTTACACTCGCAGCAGGCGCGCATCACCTCCATAATATATATATATATACAGGAAGGGGCTTAAGTATCAACAAATTTGGCACAGCTTGCGAAATTCCGATTCTGAATGTACATACCTAAAATTGGATACCCAAATGCGGCCTTCAAAGAAGTTGTATATAATTTCTTTTCAGAGCTCAACTCGGACGTAGTAAAATCTTAAAAAAAAAAAAATAATAATCGGAGGCCGGGTATTCCCTATACCAGCCTGTTTGTCGTCTGCACACTGTTCTATAAGGTTCCTCCCCGATGGCTTGTTGAACTCAAAAGCGCTAAAAACCAATAGTAGAGGCTGACGATCATCAATATAAAAGCGATAAATAATACTTTTAACGAAATATATCAACAATGACCACCTGGGAGCGAGGTCAGAAACCAGTGTGCAGACAACGGATGTCCGGTATATGGCATGGGAAATGCACGGACGCCATTCTTTTGTTCGATTTTTAATATTTCACCCCCTCTGACTTGAGCTATGAAAAAATAGACAGGCAACTTCCTGCAATACTACGTTCGTGTGCCCAGTTTTAGATATGCGTGTTTGGGATACTATTTTTTCAAGGCGTGCCAAATGTGTTGACCCTTACGGCCGCACCCTGTATATTTATTTATTTTTGTTAAATATTGATTAAAGATATATTTAAGTCATTGCAGTTTAAACAAGGCTGAGACCTGCAGTTTAGTTTAATATTTTGTCAGTAATTGCCAGTTTCCTCACTCAAGCTCAGAACGTGTGAAACAAGGTAATGTAAAGTTATTTTCGGTTCCTGTCAATATAATATATTACATATGCTACTGACGAAACAAACATATGTCCCCATTTGATCAATATATCATAATACCATATGAAAGACCCGTATAAAAAAAAATTTGAGATCAACCAGTTTTTTCAGTAGACTCTACCATTTTGAGTGGTGTATTATCCTGTATCTTGTACACGTATTATACAGATAAAACACACAAACTATTGTCGGCTGCAGTGTTGTGAGCCGCATCTGTTTAATTTTAAAAGTCGCTAATGGAAAAATTATTTAAACACAAGTGGAAGAAAACAATGCCATTCATGTGCCGTTTGATCTGACAAGCAAAGTATGGAAGACAACCATGGCAAGACATCAAATGCACTTGTGCGTTCTTCATTGAGAAAAACGCACATATATATGTCATGCTTCATTCATACGATGCTATTTAATATGAGTCGCATGTGTAATGTTCTTTTTCAATTGGGTAAATATGAAGATAACACTAAGCAATGCTTGTTTTCTCTTCGGCATAACCGTTCACTTTCAAGCCCTATTCTCAATAAGACAATCAACACAGCCAGATTTATTATATCTCTCGCAGACACAACTATATATTTAAATAAAGACAAATATAATAGAATCTTGTCGAAGATGGTACAAATAACGTAAAAAAGGACCTTTGGAAGCCCCATCGTCGGCCCTCATTCTCTAGCATTGCCAATATACAAGGTGTCTAATTTTAAAACAGAGGTTTTTTTGTTGTTTTTTTAGGAGGTTATAACTAGAAGAGTGCCGTTTTTGTGTGTTTATCGGACTCGGCATACATTGGAGGGGCAAATAATTGTCATAGTAAGTTCAGTCATTACTAAAACATCCGAATTAACCTTTTAATTCGTTGTTTTAGGTGTCATGTTGCAATTACTATTGAATGCCAACTAGACCAATTAAGATAATTTGCGAAAATAAATAGCTCTTGAGATATTATTTGATACATCCACCAAGGGCACGCTGCCGAGGCAGTGACGACATGACTGATACGACTTTGCCACTCTTCCAATAGTCATTGTGGGTAGGGCTTGCGGCGCTCTTTTTGCGCATAATGTTTTTAAACCGGCTTAGAAAAAGTGAAAATTTGTCAATTCATATCTAAAAGAAACGATTCCATTCTAGTAATTTGTTTTTTGAATTGCTATGACCTCTAATACCAATTGCCGTCAATACTACAACCGCAAAATGACCCCCAAAACCAAAAGCTATAAATGTAATTAACAGACTTCAGTTAATTATCCAAAATTACCATGGCAATTATCCCCTCATCGACGAGCCGGATAAATGCATGGTGGAGACGGGCACTCGTCTAACTCTCATCACTTTTGTTTAATATATTTCGTTCTAATAAAAATCAAACACCCTGCATATTAAAGCGGAAGACTTACGAGACGACGCTGTGATACTCAAAAAAGTTTTCGTCTCTCTGTATCGGTACCCTCACTTCAATCATCATATTTTGTTCCTACCGTATATATAACCAAGTAACGTATTAAGAGATTGTTTCGGCAAGATTCATTCTCGCATGTATAAAAAAAAAAAAAAAACTACGCGGAAGTCTTGAAATCTTGAGGCACCTCTCCGTATAAAACTTACAGAAGCGAATATTGGAGGAAATGCCAATACCTACTTTAAGCGCATACTATTCGTCGCGAAACAAGTCCTCAGTATTATTCATTTCTTTCTATATTTTCCAAGAATTAATGAAAAACGCTGAAACGTTTTTAACCTTAAATTTAAATTGGTGGTGTGTGTTGTTGTTGTTGTTGTTGTTTTTTTGTTGTTTTTTTATCGACAGGGGGCCTAATTCATTTATTACGAGGTTGTTCTTTTTTCTGTTTTTTTTTTTTTATTTCTCTTTGATTCATATTATATTATCCAGAATTTCGAGCCCGTCTCGCAGAACCCTATTGCCCGGACTTGCGTAACCTGATTTGGGCAGCCGGCGCTTGTCACGATTTTGTGTATTTGAATGATCAAGATTGAACAGGCACGTGGTTGAACCAACGATGAATAATTAATTTGAGTTTTACCAGTCCTTCAGTTTATTCTCGCAAAATATTGTCAATTAAAACTGCAGAACTTCGACAATGACTGAAGGGCCAGCCCTTTACTCGAATATAACCTACCCCAGCAGTGACTGTGATAAACAATTGCAGCAAAAAATGGTAAAAAAAAAACAAAAAAAGAAACATGGAACGTTGTTTCGGTCACGAATCCCAACGCCCACATGGATTTGATTCCGTGATTTCTGTACAACTCGGCGCGTGGACCTAAAAACGAGTTATTTTTTTATGAGCACCATCGTTAGGTTTAGGCAGTATTTAACGAAATGAAGAAACAAAAAACTGCTTAGATTTCTTTTAGTCATAATAAAATGCAATCCAATATGCACGCTAATAAATTTATAAACTGCAAAGAAGGACGCTAGAAATTACATTTTAAGCCTCCGAAAGCTTCACCTAGAATGACATCCGGTAAAGCCACGAGGGTATGAAGAGGTGGACCGCCGATTCATTGAGACGAAAGTGTCGCTGCAGACAGATTCTTGGTGGGAACTAAGTTAATTTAAGCCCTGGTAGATTTATTGGACAATTCTTGACAAAAATATTGTCGTTCTTTTCTTTCTAAGACCTTGACTAATCGTGTGGTCAGTGGTATTTTTATTCCAAAGTAACAAGGATTTCTTGAACAAACCAGCCGTTAAGTTCAAAACTCTAGGGTGCTCGTCGTTCAATTGTTTAAATGACAGTGACTTAACTAGGGTAAAACAATTATGATAAGTCAAACATGAGTGCGACATTTTTCAGTCATTGACCCGGCGTAGATAGCCTGGACTGAACGAATACTGCCTAGAATACAATGTCCATGTATTACATCATCGCTAGTGAATCCACCACACAGTAAAAGAAAACAAATCCGCGACACGCCCCACTAAAGCTAAAAATTAATTCAAGTGCGGGCGAGCTTGTGTGTATCAAAGATGATGGGTCAAAATAATGACTATAGGATCTTCTGTGGCGATTAAAGAATCAGGAAACTTTTTCGGGCCTGGAGAACCTTTGGTCAGTCGGTATGTGTTCTAGGCATTGTCTATGTTTGTATGTTAGATTGTTTTTGAGAGGTCTCTGTTGTTGTTCTTTTTTTGTACGAGGACGATACAACTTTCTGGGCCGCTTTTATGTATTTTATCTTCATTGTCGTTTTGTTTATCTAAGGAGGATAGACTATTTCCGTTTCTATAAAGGTCTTTTCGAAGGGGCTCCTTTGAAAAAGTCCGTACAACGTAACTGGCGTGCACATTTCTTTAAACCCTGAGACCCGGGGAAGAGTGCCGTAAAAAAAGGTAAGAGAAAAAAGAAAAAAGGGCAGACGACGTCTCAAGACGTTATATATTCCCCCTGTCTTACTTGCTTTATTTTTTTTTCTCTCCGGTCTCAGGGTTGACAGTCGTGTTCACAGTCAAGTTTGACGAAATTACGTGGTGGAGCGAAATACGTTCGTATTCTTTCGTCACCTCTATCCGGAACGGTGCTTGTTGCAAGTCGCGCTAGCGCGTCAGAGGCGATCCACTAGCAATGTCAGTAGAGCAAAACGCAGGCAGTATTGCCTGGGCTGGGTAAACCACGAAGGCTCACCCAGGCGAATCTACTCAGTCAACTCAGTAAACAGGCTTGAAGTTTATTTAGAGAAAGCCTATATACGCGGGCTCGCTGTTTTATTCTTATAGTCGTCGCAATCTCCTCGCCAGCAAGGTAGTCATAGAGCGCGTCTTCTTGATAAAAATACGTATTTAAAACTACGAAATAATTTCGGTCAATACGTTCATGGAGTACTGATGTGCATGTAACGCGTGAGAACAGCAAAACAACTACTCGAATACAAAAGTTTTAACTTCAACCAGGGATGGGCAAAATACATGCAAATATGTATCGAAATACAAATACAAAATACTTCGTCAAAATGTATTTAGTTACAAATC